GGTCTTCCTCCACAAGGCTGAAGATGTGAAATCACTCCATGGCATATCTGTCTGGTTGGCTCTGCACCAACCACATGGGTTGGTCTGGTTGTATCTTGGGAAACCAAACTCTTGGTAGAACCATTCTAAATCGCCAGTGATGCAGTGATGCAGAAAACCATCCCTCTCTGGAAGGTTTCTCCTGCTTCAGGAAGCAAATCTGGTGGAAGCTGTGCTCCATTCACACCTTCCCTTCGCATTTTTCCCCAAGCCGAGGCCTCCAAGCTCCAATGCAACACATCCCACACACCAGCCCACATTTCTGGTGTAATCATGGCTTTGGGAGCTGCCAGTAACAGCATGTGGCTCATATGGACCGAGACCTCACAAAGAATGCTCCTCAAGCTAAGTACCATCAAACCATCACACTCACTGTGTGGTGCAGCATCACCATGTATGCAAAAAGGGATAGGACCTTCTTGCTTCCAGTTGCCAAAAGAGGCAAGGAAATCCTTGCAATTGTTCAGCCTGGGGTTCTTCAAGGTTTGCTGTGGCCAGATGTTCTCAAGTTCTTGGCGCCCAGCACCTTATCCTTCCCAGCATCCTCAAGGGCTGCCACCCACATATGTGGTAGGAGAATAGGCAGCTCACCTGGTTGCTTCTGCATCTTTGCATTCTTTGCTTTTGCACAAACTGTGGTTTGGAGCATAAATGGCTCAGGTAAGGCGATGTTTTTGAAGAACCTTCTCACCAAGTCTCTGTGTGTGTTCCCACCTTGGGACCCATAAGCCCCCAAGGAAGACAAGGCATGCACATCCTGAGCATCTGGTGCTGTTTTGGTGCTTGCCAAAGCAATCTCTTGCACATCAGCTGCTGACAATTCCTCCTTCTGTCTGCAGCAGAAGAATGCCTAAAGGTGATGAAGGGGCCACATCTTCTCTGGTTTCCAGAGGCCTTTTAGAACCCCTTCTTGTGGAAGCCATCCTGATCAGGCACTGGAGGCTGAGTTGGAGTTGAAGAAATGTGGGCAAACATTGAAGGCTGAGTTGGAGTTGAAGAAATGTGGGCAAACACTGAAGGCTGAGCTGGAGTTGAAGAAATGTGGGCAAACACTGGAGGCTGAATTGGAGTTGAAGAAATGTGGGCAAACACTGAAGAACCTGCTCCTTGCTCCTTGCTTTGCTCTTTGTTCTTTGCTTGGGCCAGCTATATGCACACTGCAAGATTCACATTTTGAACAAGAAATTCTTGCAAGGGGCTCTCTCCTCCAACCCCTGGCAAGGGGCTCTCCAACCCCTGGCAAATGGCTAAAACAAGGGTACATGTTGTCAGTGCCACATGCCAAACTGCAGGCCATTCCCTCCAGCTTCACCACCCATCTCCATCTGTACCAGGTGGCCCTGAGGTTCTCCCTCCACAAGTTGTGTCCTCAGATGGCCATGGCACCAAGACATACAAAACCCATTGACAGAAAACAATATAGGGGCTTTCCAACCCATGGGGAATCCAAACAAAGTGACAATTTGAGGGCTTTCCAACCGATCGGCTTGCCTCCACTGTCTGTTCCATGCTTCCCTGCTCCTTTGCCACCTGCTGGAACTCCTCCCTGCATGGCCAGGTACCTTATCTTTGCTGTGCTTTCTCTCTGCTTAGGCTTGAAGCCGAAACACTCCAATATAAAGCAAAGTTTGCTGAGAACAGAGGGCATTCCAACCCCTAACTTCAAAGCATTTTTTGGTGACAACAAAAGGGCTTGCCAACCCTTAACTTTGCAATTTTGCAGACAACAAAAAGGGCTTCCCAACCCTTAACTTTAAAGCAAATTTTGCTGACAACAAAAGGGCTTGCCAACCCTTTGGTGCAATTTTGCTGACAACAAAAGGGCTTTGCAACCCTTAACTTTAAAGCAAAAATTGCTGACAAAGGGCTTTCCAACCCTTACCCTGACTCTCCTATAATGCTTACCCTTACAACCCTTGGGCTTTCCAACCCTTTGCTGCTTCCATTCATTTTCACAGGCCCAAGCTCGTTCAGTTGTCAAGCCATTTGGCTTTCAAATTCTCCACTTCAAGGAGGGCTGCACCACCTTCCAACTTCTTCTTGAGCTTGGCTGCCATTTGGTAGCTCTTTTCCTGTGTCTTCCTTGATTTGAAGTATTTGTCTTCCCTGCGTGACCCTGATGGCACAAGCTCCTGTGCCACTGTATGGCATCAGAATGAGTCTGGCTCTTTCTTCAGCACTGAGTTCAGGTTTCTTCCCCTTCTTTTTGGGCTTGCAAGGCATATCTGCCTTTTTGGCAAGCTGTTTCTTTGCACCTTTCTTCTTGCCTGCCATGGATGGCTTTTTTTTTCACCTGGGGCACCCCCATGCAATCCCTGATCTTCTCCTTGGAAGTAGGCACTGGGCTTGTCATGTCAGCCTCTGCTTCACATTGCCCTCCCTCTGACAAAGCTTTTGTGACTGAAGGTGTTTAGGGGATTTCAAAGTCCAAAGCATCTTTTGTGGCTCTCTTCTTTGCTGGTGACCCTTCCTGCAGATCTTCAGATTTCCCTTCCAAAGCCAGCTCTCTCAGCTTCTCTAGTTGCTGGGTCTGCCACTCTGTGGCTTTGCTGCAGCATTCTCTAAATTTCTGCTTGTCTGCAAGCCTCCTGCATTGGGTTAAAACCACCAGGATTGTGTTTGCTGTATCTCCAGGCCATGCCGACTGCTTGCTCAATGGGACTTTTTCCAAGACCTCTTCCCTAGTCCTGCAAATCTCTTGCAAAGCTTCCTTCAATTGACCATATTTCAAAGTCAATGAGGGGGTGGCATGGCTGATAGCGGTGATGAAATCAAGGGCTTTCACCAACCCAACTGCATTGCAGGCAGTGCTCCTTGTAATCCCTTTACCATAGGGATCGAAGTCAAAAGCATGGGTGTAGCCCACCTTTCTGATCTGGCCATGGAAGATGTCCACCAAGTGCTCCCTATCCACATGAGGCTTTTTTGGATTTCTATTTCCACCTTTGCCCATACCTGGGTGGCTGCTTTCTAAAAGCTTATTTGAGCCTATACATCCTATATGTGATAAGGTTTCATGTTTGACTTCATTGGGCTGTCCAACCCTTATGAGTCTATTGGGCATTCAGTCTGAGTAATTACTTCACTGGGCTTCCCTAATCATATCAAAAAGTACTCGTTTACTTAGGGCCTTTCCAACCTACAACTCTGGGTTCATGGGTACCATGAAAATCAATCGAAAAATAATCGAGAAATCAATCGAAATTGACAAGTAAAATCAATAGAATTTTAAGACAAAATCAATAGAATTGAATGCCTTCAAAAAAGCAATTCTATTGAAAAACCCTTCAAACCATGCATTTTCAATCGAATTTATATTTTGTTCAAAAATCAATATGTCTATTGTTTTTCAATCGAGGATGCTCTGGGTTCGTTGGGCAACGTAGGAAGACCGGTCGCTGCCCCCCTGCTCCGTACAGTGCTCCCAACAAATTGAAAAGAAAGGTAGAGTAGGGCAATAGACAGGTTAGTTCCCTTTGGAACAGGGGTTGACACACACAAGAAGCCGAAACGGCGCATCTAGTACTATTCAAGGCACAACTCAACGCAAGCTGTCTTTTTTGGATGGCTGCAAGGCTGCAGCGCTAAGTGTGCTTGACTGTTTTTTTTGTTTCCTTTCTTTTTCCATCTTTTTCGTTCCTTTTTCCTTTTCTAGGGGGTGGAGGGGTGTGCGGGCGTGCATTGACCAAACGAGCCTGGATGCCACCCAACCAGCCTGAAGAAAAGAACAAGACAAACGAAAAGGCAAGGAAAGAAGAGAAAGATGCAGGGGGCGCGTGGGGGGCAGGGCGTGCGTTGACTAAACGAGCCTGGATCATACCTAAAAAGCCTGAAGGAAGGAACAAGACAAACGAAAAGGCAAGGAAAAACAAGAAAAGGTGCAGGGGGTGCGGGGTAGGGTGGATGCTCTTGCGAGCGAACGGCACGGGCCCGTAGGCACTGACCGAGAAGCCGAATCGGCGCTTTTAGATTGGAACATGTCGCTTGAAAAGTTGGAACATCTCCTGGTGTGAAACTCATTCAGAAAAGGTTTTCAGTGGACTCTGCAGTACGGTTTCACGTGTACAAGGTGAGACGTTTCAGACAGTCTGACTTCGAGCAAGAAAATTCGAGCAGTAAAATTCAGGAAGCATTCAGAAAAATGTACTCCTGCAATGAGGAGAAGAACTCCCACTCAATAGCGGCGCCCCGTAGGGTTCACACAGCTCACCACAGTGGGAAGAAGCTGCGAATCACACTTGAGAAGAGTGCTCCGTAGAGCGTGGTTTCAGAAATTCGCAGTGAACATTAGCCCTTTATCTTACTGCAATTAGACCTTGACTGAAAAGGAAGCGCTGGGTCAGATCAAACGAATGATTGAACAAGAATGGATGTGAAGTGACTAAAAAATTAGCAGGTACACATTCAGGCGTCCCTGAATGCTTCCGCCAGTCTTCCCAGCTTCGTTGGGCAACGTAGGAAGACCGGTCGTTGCCCCCCCTGCTCTGTACAGTGCTCGCAAAAATTGAAAAGAAAGGTAGAGTAGGGCAATAGATAGGTTAGTTCCCTTTGGAACAGGGGTTGACACACACACACACACCAGTCGACAATAATATGAGCCCTGAAAGTGGAGCCTTGCCTTTGATCATGTTCTTCTCCAACAATCTAGCTCAGGGAGACGTCAAGCTATCAAAGCAGGGCGGACACAAAGTGGATACAGAAGAAGTTGAAGCAAATTCCACTTTTAAGCTACGACCAACATCACAACTTGTCTACAGAATGCCACACTCTTGAGAATGCTATGAAATGCCTGGCACCTTTTCATCCTGGAGATCCTAGCGGTGCTCTGGCCAGTGACGCCTTTAAATGAAAATGCCTTCATGGGTCGATAAGTTGTTTCTCGCAGCAGAAACATGACTGTCATGATTGTCATGGTGCTCAATTCTGCTCAATTCCCTGGTTGCCCATGGGCACTAGCCAGCTTAAATGTCCAGCTTCTCATCATCTGTCAGCCGAGTTCCCTTGGTGCTCCTGTGCAGCAATGAACACTCGATGCTCAATAAAATCACCTATACAATGAGTACAATGGTTTCAATGGCGTTATGCAACCACTACATGTTGTTTCAACGATAACCACATCAGGGCTATTGATGTTTGGACACATGGCTTCACACACAACACAAATTTGCACAGGCCACCTGCCCCCTTGTGTTCGTCTTGGTAAAGGCAGCGAAGGCACCATCTACGGTGAATCTGCAAGGGACAGTACTTCAAGCACACTTCAGAAACTGCCATTCACTGTATATATAAAATATGTATATACTAATGTCTGGATCTCCAGCATCTAGATCATCAATATTGTAGAGCAACACAAGAAAACAAACATGGTGTCTATCCAAATCAGGCTTTAAAAACACGATCGCTTTGCTCTCTCTATTGATCTCTTTGGGCATCACTATAAGTCCAGCAGTTATATTCAGCTGTTACGATGTTGGCTGTGGGTAACTAGCGTGGGAGGGGATCCCTCCAGTCCGAAAATCCAACTCTCAATGGCGAGATCCCTCGCCATCCAATGAGTCAGGATCCAATGAGTCAGGCTGCGTGTCTATCATACGTGTCTTATCTGTCATCTGAGAAGAAGTCAGTTCAAAAAGCCGGACAAAATGAAAACCATCGGACCTGCGCGGTTGAAAGAGATCAAGCCATGATCAAACCTGTTTGATCCCCAAAGATCCTCCGTTCAGAAAACGGTCCTAATGTGTTTGTAGGCGGAAGCTGCGAAGACCTCCTCCACACTCTGAGAAGCCATCCTGGCAAAAATATGTTTGACTGATCAACCAGCATGACAGCTAAAGCTTGAAAGGAGCTCGACCCCCCGGAACAAACTTCGCAAAACAGCCCCTAAGAACACCAATCAGGGTGATGCCTGCCCCTGAGAGGTGCATTTTGCCCTCAAATCCAACAGAACTGTGCATCCCACTAAGGTCATGGTCATCTACGTATGATCGTTCAAGAGGCCTTACTGAGACTGTTTAGGAACCAAGTTCTGCTTTTGCGCGGTCAACCATCCACCACACAGCAGTGTTAACAAGGAGTTGCCAGGGCGTAACAAGGGCATCGCTAAACTAGTAACAAGGGCATCACCACTAGCATTGCTACTGCGGTAGTACAAGAAGATGCAAGAAGTTACACTCCCTGGAACTAACATGGTTACGTCGAGAATGGGCCCGAAAGGAAGACCATGAAATCCACGAACCAAACAGGTGGTGCCATCCACTACAAACTATGTGAGGGACCTAGGGAGTAGTAACTAGTTGCCTTCTCGTTCGGAACGATGCTGGCGTTCCTCCGAGTGGCCTTCGGGTGAGGGGCACGGAAGACGGGCGTTCACGGGTAGGCGTTCTCTTTCACAGGTCACGGAAGACGTCAGGGCGTTCACCTTGCCACTACTGAACAAAAGGCGGAAGCACCTTCCGCATCCAAGTCCCTCTCGCCACCTTCCGCATCCAAGTCGTCCCAGTCTCAAGTGCTCGGTCACGTGATGTCACGTGGCAATGGAATGCATTGATGCAATGTTTGTTGCAATAAAAACCACACAAACGTTTAAACAAAAAACGTGGAAATTGTCAACAGTCCATTGGCAAATTTGACGTCACATTCGACCTCGTGTTCCCCACCCACCTCTTCAGCACTGGTTTGGACTCGGTTTGCTCGTCTTCATCGGGCGGGGGCTCATCGGGCACGGCGGAACTGGGACCGTTGGGACCTGGCGAAGGTTTTCCCGGGGAGATCAAATGTAATCACCAATCAGATTGGTCTTTGGGATTACTATGGAGAGCATATGGTAATGTTTATCATATTTATCTACACGTAATTATATATATCAAGTACGTCCGTATCATATATAGTACAAAATACAACAAAAAGGGTATTTCAATAACAGCACATGGAGTCGGAGGATCGTTTGAGTATATCAGATTCATGGACCGAACATGACAGGACATACACTGAGAAAAGTTGACAATGTCCTTCTCAGAAGAAACCATGTCCTATGCATGACCAACTGAAAGATTGTGCTAGAGGGATCTGATGCTCCAATGCCACTTCCATGGCCCACCCACGTTGCATTTTGCTATCAGAACAAAGGCTGCCAACCTATACCCCCTGCAACACACCCTCTGAACCCGTTCAATTCCCCGTACTCTGAACCACATGTTTTAGATGGCGCCACACTGAACTCCTGTGCCAAAACACAAAACACTTGGAGAAGATCGTGTAAATCAAATTTTATGACAGGGGTAATCACTCATGTATTCTGCAGCATCTGGAGTGCTGGCACAATACATATCTTAAACTCAAATCGTCAGATCTAATCTTGATATACATATTACGTTGTTGTACATATGTGAAGTGTATATATATACTTTTGGTTTCTTATCTGAAGGAAACAATTCAGGCAAATGGACGTGACCTTCTCCCTCACCAAGCACTGGCAGTTTGCAAACCACCCACCCTGCACCTGAAGTGACACTGAGAAGCTGCAGCACCTCCTCGAAGAGAACCTGCAGACCAGGAAGAGGCGTAGAAAAGTATATAATGCCAGCTCCAGCAGTTAAGCTGCTGTCAAACAGAATCTGCCGTAAAAAGATCTACTGATGGTTTCCATGGTGCTTACTTCATATCAGCTAGTTTACTCATGGAGGGTTCCTGGACAGCGACCCCCAAAAAAACATAGTCCTTCCTGGGCCTTGGGGCCTTGCACGTGCAATGGCAACGCCCAAGTATGTGTGGGATGTCTTTTGCATTTTGGATGATTGCACCAAAAGCAAAACCGTCCAAACTTCCAACAGCACCATTTCCCGGTTTTCTGCGGTCCCCAACCTTCCCAACAACACACCAACGCCCTCCGTGCGACGCCAACGACGCAAGCAACGACACGTCGTTCGCTCGCCTCCAATTTGGTCTCCATCCGCCAGATGTCCAATGCTTTCGCCTGACCTGGCCATTTCCGCGCGAATCTCTGAGGCCAACACTGCCTGACCGAGGCCCTGAAACCGGTGTGACACCGGCCGCACGCGCGGTGGGTCGGGGAAAATGGTTGAAACTGATGGGACATCATGGGAAACTGATCACATGTCCTCTTGGCAGATGCCAAGAAGCCTGTCACTCCGACCATGTTTGGTCCATTCTGACCATGGTTGGAGCTGGGAAGGTACCAAACCGGGCAAACGTGACATGTTACCTGGCCCACCAACTCCGTCGTCTTTCTTGTGTTCAATCCAAAGAGGCCTTTGCAAATGGTTTTGGTTCTCAACTCTAACTCATAGGATCTCAAGGGTGTGGGTGCAAGTCTAAAATTTATGTAACAAGAACAACACAGATTAGCAACTTGTAGCCTACAACGCGATTGGCGACCTATTGTTTTGCCTTGAGGGAAAAAGGGCTTTGACTGAGCATCCCAGTCACGTAACTGCTGTCGGTGCGTGCAGGAAAGTTTGGATCTTGAATTCTCTCTATAGACATTATAGCTTGGAACCTTCACATCTGCTGGGCGACCAAACTCCAGTGCGAATTCAATGTGTTTTTTCCCCTTACAGTATATAAAGTCACATGGCACCCTCGTGTGGGGGCAGCAGCTATCGTGTGAGGCAGCTGCGCCGATAACTTGGACGAACCCGAAAGCTTCGTCGCACCTCTAAGCTTCGTGGCACCCTCGATGAACTCTGACAGTGTGATTTCTCCATCCTGCGTCCGAACCAAAACGACACCGGCAAACCTGTCAGGATCTCGTCCCCCACTCCGGTAGATCTGAAGTGGAGATGGCAATCAAAATGGCCATGTGGGCGATGCAGTGCCGTAAAGGATTGAGCTTAGAACATGCCAAGCGCAAAGCAGTGTCGAAACTGGCAGTTTCCGTATTTCCCTATAGGGCTCCCAGGTGTCCAGGTGTCTGTTTGCGGTGAGTGGAGAGTTCGTTCTTACCTTCTGAGGAAGTATTTGGAGATATTTGGAGCGGAGAATGGTACACTCATGTACACTCCCTGACACAAACAATGGAACATAGGAACGTAGGCCCCGACCATTTTCCTCTTCAAGGGGGTCCGGGGTCCTGGGTAGCTTCCATGAGTCTTTGAGAATGGTTTCTTGTGCAATCTGAAACAATTAGTATCAAGTGCATCGCTACTAGTAACAAGTGCAGTACTACTAGTAGTAACAAGAAGTAACAAGGTGCATCGCTACTAGTAGCAAGGGGAACATTCAGGAACTACAGGGGCGACCGCGGATCGATACCCCTGAGTGGCGGACCCCATTGTCGAGGAACTCAAAGAGGCTCATCAAATCATGATATTCCAACCTGAGACGGAAAGATTCTGAAAGACAGAATGAGTGAGTGCAGCTGTTTGGAAGGGGGTTCACAAAGCAAATTCAGAACAGGATTCACAGGAGATTTACAGTAATTCATTGTTCATTAATATACATTGTGATATATTCATATATATATATATATTCATTAACGTTCTCTTGATCTCCCCTATCTCCCCGACCGCTTTTGCCTTTCTTCAAATACCGCTCTTGCTATACAAAGCTTCTCACTTCTCGCCGGTGGGTTTCGGGTGGGAAGGGTTTCGTGTTTGGGTTTCCACATGTTTCAACCGAGGCTCTCCAGTTGGCTCATCCAAAACTTGAGTTTCGGGTTGGAGACCAACTTGGAGAATTCCTGCACAACACAGGGGGCTCCAAGACGGGGCGCTCAACCGCGGACTGATCGTTGGCTTTTTCAGGGACTGATTTCAGAGGCAGTGGCTCATGTATCGCGGAGGGTGAGAGATCACAGAATCACTCTTGTGTATGATGAACATGAACAGAGTTGTCGAAAACCAGTGCAACCAAATCCGTTCTTTTACTCTTCACACAGCCGTTGGAACTAGCCAGTAGCCTACTAGCCTACTCAACCAAATCCAGACAAATCTAGGCAAACGTCCCCTATCAAGACTTGGTCCGCACTAGTAAAAGAAGCTGTTTAGATCTTTGTAGTACGTCTTTGAAGCTAACACTAGGTTGGAGGCCATCGCTAGTTTCCATTGCTCTTCCTATGACTTGGTCCATCGAAATGAGCCGACCGCTGCCTGGCCCCGCCCCGTTGCCCGCCGAGCCGAACAAGCGACTCACTCAACAGTCATGGGAAGCAGCTGTTGGACTCCAGGCCGCACACCTGTTGTACCAAGTCCTTACACTTATATATACTTACTCTGTCGCGCTAATATACGTATTTTGTTACATAGTATAAAAACTCTAGTCATCACGGCCAGGGTCTAAGAGTACACCAACTCAGGGGTAAAGCAAATCTTTGCAAGGACTTGCAGGACTACTTGCAGGGTCTTCCTCTCCAGGATGCCGGTGTGCTACTGATTCTTCTGAAAATACCAAAAGATCTAAAAAGTTGTTGTTTTTGGCCTGGCCATCTGGATCATTCTGGACCCATGGTGTTTCTATGTTGTCTTGCCTTGCCCCATTTGGAGTCGAAGGCTGTCTGTAGTGTGCCACCCCAAATCAGTGGAAGTGTCTGCAGAGTTACACCAAACAACAGCGGTTTCATCTCAAATCTCAAGTGACGAGGCAACAGCCAGAAGTATGAAGAACATGCGTCATAAGCTGAAGAACGCCAGGGGCCCCCCCTCTGAGCCCACAGCGTGGCGAACATCTGCTATTAAGGAGGTCTTGAGACCGCTATGGCACCTAAATGGTTGTTATGTTTTAGCAAGTTCTTATCGAAGAAACTGACTGTGCCGAAGACATCCACAGGTCCTTCCATGCGTTTCCCTCTTTCACTCGTGCTTGATCCAAGGTTTTGGAGTTTCCGAACCTATCTTCATCCTTCTTCAGCCAAACCCAACCGCCAACCACCGGGTTCCCCCAGTGAACCACCGTCCTCATAGTTGATGGTGCCGTCACCGCCCGTGTCCATGGTTTGGAAGACATGTCGAAGCTGGGCGCGCGAGCACACACACACACACGCACCGGTGCGGGGGAGAAACGAGGAGTCACACTGGGCTGCATTCGGAGGAGTTTTTTCGAGATGCAAGTCTGCCATGGAACGACAACACTTGTTTCATTAATACAAGTAACTCTGGACTGTGAATCATGTATGGCAAATCCCTGGTATTCCTTCAATATGCCTGTAATTAAATTGCCAAGTACCACCAAATGTTATGATCAAAGTCACAAACAAACAAACAAACACTTGGAGAGATAGCTCGCAAGAACACAGGGTCAGTTAATCTTCGGCTGATGCTACTGCGGTAGACCTTGACTGGTGAACGGAAAGGCGATAAGTCCAAAAAACATAGACTATTGTTTAACAATGGTGAAACGAAACAGCAAGTTAAAAGTGAAGGTAAGTCGGAGTGACGTTGGCAGTAGACTCATGAGTGGACTGCTGCCCCCTGCTTAAGTGAATTCAAAACCATCAAAACCTGTAGGTGATCCTTAGAGACAGGGTGTGACTCACACACACACACACACCACGCACCAAAACTCACGACCCAGGCCGGTGCGTGCATCCAGCGACCTCCACGACCCGCACGGGACCGTGATGGGTCGTGTCTAGGCTGAGCCGTGCGCCACAACCCCCGCCTTTCGAGTGTAGGAAGCCACATCCTTCTCCTTCTGGCGAAAGGCCAAATCCTCGCCGCTCAAAACTCCCGGTCCGGAGCATGGTCTGGTTGCCCGGCCGCTCCGGTCAGCCGTACCGTAGGCGGCACGGTTTGGTGGCATGGCAGGCGGGCATTGGCATTCTGAAAATGACTGGGAAAGCCGCAACGTCATTGCTTTTACCGGCTGACACATGGCGCCGACACCGATTTCCTCATCAGAGTCTCTCGGCTTGGTTTCGATACATGGCTTGTGCAGTCCTGTCCTTGTACAGTGGTTTCAGAGTAGATGGCACAATCCCAAAGATACTGGTGCTCGTTGAAGTTAATACATTTTGCATGTGGGATACTAAACCACCATGGAACGCCGATTTGCAAAAGTCAGTACTTAAGTCAAGACTGCTGGCCTTCCCCATTGTAAACGCTACATACAGAACAAGGTTCTCCAGATTCACCTTTCCAAAAAGAGAAAACTTCAACTGCAAATCCCAATGGCAACGCAAGTTGGAGAGCTACCCGACGTGGTAACTTACCCCATCGCACATGAACTTGACCCACCCCCATGGCACACCGCTTACCCCACGAATGTAAGAACTTACCCCATTTGGACAAAATGGCGCACCGCTTCCAGACAAGCACTTTTTCTCCTAGATTGTTCCTAAACCTACACTATTCCATTGCGATTCAACCTTCATCAACCTTCTACATGTTGATGTTTTCAAAGGTTATCTATGGGTTGCCGTGATCCAATCCCCATGGCACCCCGATTCTGACCCACATGTTGGTACCAGCTTTAAGTTTCTACCTGGAGTGCAAACAGCATGGAATGGTTCGTTAAACGTCAGAAATATCTATGCGTTCTTGTGTGTATTCCTCTCTCAATCCCCATGGCACACCGCTTCGAAACAAGCACTTTGTCTCCTAGCCTAGATTGTTTCTAAAGCCTACACCATTCCATTGCGATTCAATCTTCTACACGTTGATGGGTTCTAAGGTTTCCTATGGGCTGAAATGATCCAACCCCCATGGCACACCGATTCTGTGACACCACACCGTGACTAAGTCACGGCAGAGTCACTTAGTTTTCGCCAAAACCATGCTTTCCAAGCCCAGTTTACAACCGGACACTGCCACAATGATTGGGTTTGTGCAACAACAGCCAGCAGCAAATGAGTAGGCTTTGTAGCGCAGGCAGCGGCAGCGGCAGCAGCAAGCAGCAGCCAACCAGCAGCAAAACAACACCAACAACCCAACAGCAGCAGAAGGCAACCAGCAGCGGCCAAACAGCAGCAGCAAGCCGGCAGCAACAAACCAGCAGCCGCCAAACAGCGGGCAGCACCAAGCCAGCAGCAGCTAACCAGCAGTATAGTAGCCAACCAGCGCCAGCAAACCAGCAGCAACTGGCAGCAGCCGACCACCAGCAGCAAAACAGCGCAGCGCCGCAGCAGCACCCAACCAGCAGAGTCTGCAATGGAAGAAGCCTGCTATAATCATAGGGCGTGCAAGACAATGACAGGCAGCAAATGAGTAGGCCTTGTAGCCCAGGTCGCAGCAGCGGCAGCGACAAGCAGCAGCAAGCAGCACCAGCAGCAGCCAAGCAGCAAGCAGCAGCACCGGCAGCAATCAGCCAGCAGCAGCAGCAGCCAACCAGCAGCAAACCAACAGCAGCCAACCGCCAGCAGCAGCAGTAGCCAACCAGCAGCAGCAAGGCAGCAGCAGAAAACCAGCAGCAGACCGGCAGCACCAGCGAAGGTAGCCCAATCAAGCTTTCCCCCAAGGGCACACCTCATCTGGCACAAGTTCATGCCACTCAATAGTGTGCCCGCTTCACAGCGGAAGCCAGGTTTCCACGCGGACCCTGCTTCCGAGGGTTGGCCCTATAAGCCCTTGGAGGGTTGGACATATGAGACCCACAATCCCAAGATGAAGGGGAACCTATGGGCTGCCTATAGAAACCTCTAGAAACAACCTATGGGTTGCCTGCCAACTTCCTTGCGGTAGGTCTTGTGCAATCAAAACACTGTGAACGCTGAGTAAACCAAGCCCATTGAATAAAACCATGCATTTAGAAAACATCTTCCAACACACTCTATCCTGCAAGGAAACGCTATAGTGTATCGACTTCCTGGCTTGCTCATCACCTTCTATCTGCTATTTGCAAAAAAACACGTCTCGATTTCATTTAAGGATTGGTACAGTATGTCACAGTATGTCGCAGCAAAAAAGTATCCTTCCCATATCCCTTCCAGCGTTCTTCTGCTAAGACCAACTGACAGCAAGAAGACTAACTGACAGAAAGCGACAAACCAACACCAAACGACAACAAAAACAAATAACAACAACACCCAAGACTTCAAGAGAGCTTCACAATACCAAACGGTTTTTTTACAGGTCTTCTTGGGATAGGCGATCTGTTGGGATAGGCTGTTGGATCAGAACTGGACGAAAATGGACCACCGGTGTGGGACCTCGAGTCCGTCACCGGTGGGACACCCATCCCACTTGGCCACCGCTCTTCATCCGAACTGGCGGTTTTCATCGTCTGCTGCACAAAGACCGAGTTCCTGCCAGGAACATTGCTCGGGTCGGGTCGACTGCCCAGGGTGCCCGAGGCAAAGCCAAACCTTTGAGGCTCTAAGAATCTCTGAGATACAGATCATAATAATGCTTTATTGGTGGGCATCTTCGCAATTCAGGACCCTTCCAGTCAGATGCTTTTCTGCAGTTGCACTGAAAACACAATTCAAATCACAATTCCTCCAAAAACTTGTGATCCTGAGATACACTGCCCTATGAGAAAGACAAGTGAAAAGCATCACTGATCACTCAAAAACGATGACTGTGGGGAGGTTGCGATGGCCTCAAGTTGTGTTTGCTGACTTCTAGGGCTCTGCTCACACGGAGGGCAACGTTACTGACCGATAGCGCAACAACGCCGTCGGAATGTGTGCCAAGATGCACGACGTTGAGTACCTTGGTGGGGTATATTGGGTGGATTGGGATGAGACACTCATAAAACAAACACATCTGCAAGGTTCTGTCCCAACTGAAGGGCACATCGAATGAGATAAATACCCTATTTCGGATCCCGGTCCGAGAGCCCATGTTGAATTACGGTTAAAGTTATGTCAGTTTTCTTTTGATGTGATAGAATTTACTTTTTTGACACTCTTGGAAATCCAAATCCAAAAATTTCATCGAATCCTGCCCCAAAGCACAAGGTTCTGAAACTTCCTTCAGGCAAGCTTCTGCAAAACCCAGCACACAACGGTAGGCCAGGAAAAAGAGCGAGAACCATTCGCTGACCTCAGGACATTCAAGGATAGTCGTCTGGGCAGCACCAATGGGGTTGGGACCCAGGGGGTCAAGCCACCCCATCCTAGCCAGTGTGGCCACACGGCTATATTCAAAGTTCAAAAAATTGTTTGACCAAACTTTGGTCACCAAATTACAAATATTTGGCATTAAATGTGGTCCTGCATCAACTGCGAAGTCTAAGGAAATGAACTAAAGAAATAAAATGACACAAAACATGAACTAAAGAATGAAACTGACCCCGACCCCAGGCTAAATTGTTGTCAATCAGCACTTCATTGGTGACGAAGTATCCCATTTGTCCTGTGTTCTTGTTTTTGTTGCATCCTGTGGAAGTTGAGGCTGCAAACTGTGGAGTGGTGCATTCTTAGCAATTTGTCTTGTGAGGAGGGTCTTGACATCACGTCCTGCAGTTCATGCAGAAAGTTTTGGCCTACTCAGGCAGCTTCAAAAAAATGCGTTTTATCCAACTCCAAGCGATAAAAGGGGGAAAACGTGAAGCCGTGTTTGGACACTTGCTTAAGAAAATCAAAAATGGAATTTCCAACATACCGCTTGTTGCCGATTAAGTAAAAAATCACATGAACCCAATGAGTTCAAAAATGGAATGGTGTTCCCAATTCCAGCTGGGACCCCTTTGAAACCGCTTTGGACAACTAACACTAAAATGGGGCGAGCAGCAAGCCAGGCGCTAGGTAGTAGTCCGAGAATGTGCAAACTGTGCAAACAAGGAACATTGTCCACCAACACTCTGCAGGCAGGTCCCCAATTGGCGAACAAAATTTCCTCGGCTAGAACTCGCAACATGGATGCGGCTGCGGCTGCCATTGCTAATTACTAATGCCAAAAAAACAGAAACCAAATATATAGCCAGTGGCGATAACCAAGTGCCGGTGGCGAAAACTACTGATGGGCTGCATTTGGTTGGCTGGAGATGTTGGCAGGGAACCGTAGATGGTCGGATGGACCCACAGCTGTTGTTATTCCACCCTGCCGGGCGCTGTTTGGAGCCACCCTAAATCCGGATAGACGGCAATACCGGTAACATTGGTGCTTGTTTCCTGGCGAAGATTCGCTTGGCACATTGGCCGAAAGTTCCAAATTTCACCTCGGTGAAAAGGCCTTAGTGAGCGCACATCTGTGCAACCAAGGGTTCCCGACGTCGACCGTACGGATTGAACGGTCAAATCTGAAAGACTGTTCATTCAACAGTTTGTCGGCCAAGGCCATGGGGGAAACCCAATAGGCGGTTCCATCACATCCGGCCAGAAAAGCACTAAACAATGCCAGCAAAAATCACCAAAGGTTCAGAAAGAAGAACAAAAAGTTTGGTAAGAACTGCCCAATTTGCAGATAGTTTGATCCTCAATTATGTAACTAATGAGTTACATATAGTTCCCGTACTGGACAGGAATAAAACCATCCTCACATCCTAACACTTTAAATTCTAACCGCGGTATGTTTTGTGAGAGCTGAATGCTGAAACTGAACGTTCAATGACCAAACATAAGGGCCTTATCAGTAAAAGAGTGGTTCTTACTCAGTACTGTGTCATCCTTGCCCCTCACGGTAAGCTTGGCTGACTTCTACTCAGGATGAGTTCGAATGCGAGGAGCACAACAATTCATTATCGGGACCTCAAACAGTATGCCCCGGGAAACATAACTATTTATTACTATTTAGACCCAAAACAATCCTAACCCAGGGTTGAAAGAGAGTAGAACGGCCCAAAGTTTGTCCAAGGTTGTTCGCACACAAACACCTCTCCGCAGCAGCATTCAGAACAGGGCTGACAGAAATACAATGCTTTCTGGCAGAACCAGCAGCACACAAAAAAAAATATTGCCCCTGAAGTTCATGCTTGTATATACAGGTCATGTAAGTATTGATTGTTTTTTTCCGGTCGCCAAAACGTAACACGGAGTAGGTGTTCCGCGTGAAAAAAGAACACAGCAAGCACGCACAAAGAGACGGACCTTTCTAGGTTTTGCTGCCTGTTGTGTGTGTGGGGGGGGGCCGCCTTGCCCATCTAAAGCCATACCGTGACCATAGTAAGTTGCTCCTCCAGCCACCGAGACGGCTCCACCTAAACATATAACATATATATATATATATAAAATTAATGCCAGGCCGGAAAAAGGAATACCATGTGCAAATTTCGTGGCGCGGGCGGGGGGTTGGGGGAGAGGGCACCCCCCAGCAGCCAACATAAAACAAAACTAACACTGCCAGGAAGTGCGAAAATGGTTTGAGGAAACACTTTCTGGGATAGCAAGGTGTGCTGTAGGATTAGACTAGACTGCTCATGGGTTAAAAACAAGCTCATGCGTTAAACAACAAGTCCGTGTGCACCAACAGACAAAACATCAGGATAAAATAAAGTCTGCTCCTAGAACTCACCCTTCCTTCCTTGCTTCCTTCCTTCCTTCCGTCCGTCCTTCCTTTGTTGAGTTAAGTCTGTTCTAACATGTTCTAACGTGTTCTATTTCGCATGAATATCAGAATAAACAAGGTGCCGGCGTTGTTAACGACCCTGGAGTTTTTAGCACTTTCCATCATGCATGGAAACGAAGAATCTATTGGAACACGCAGGGCTTTGTGTTTCACTCATGTTTTTTTATGACGTTACTTTCGTATGGTTTTTGCAGCGCGATGCCCCTCAAAGAAGATCAAGCACATTGGAAATACGACGTGCCACTGGCTGAATTTAGGCCCTCGTCTTTTCAGAAGACAACAACATATGTGGAAGAGAGAAACCATTAACCCTCGCAGTGTTTCGTGTCCAAGTCATGTTTTGATGACATGCGGTACATTGCGTCTTTGGACTTCCGCGAAGCAGACGCAGTCAGAACCTCAGACACTGCTCGCCCATTTTTTCCAAAGGCTCTTGACGCTGTTTCTTCGAAACTGGTAGCTCCAAGTGTACTTCATCAAGAGCGGGTTTAGTCCAGTTGAGCATTTGGCATGGATACTGCTATACACCCTGGTCCACAAAGAGTATAACAGATCGTGAGAAGTGCCTTGAAAGACAACGTCCAACGATCCGGGTCCAGAACCGTGTCCAACACAAAACTGTCAAAAGGTCCCGTGTGTCTAGTTGCTAGAGAAATCAAAGAATCCACATAATAATGTTCACTTCCACAGATCCAACAGAGGATCCGGACAAGGTACCCTGACCAACCACAACATAGCCACCAAACACAACGGCAACACCTCACGAGCTGTGAGCTCGCGCATCCTGAAGCCCAAACAGCTCAGCGACGCGGTTTCATGTAACAAACAAAAAGAACCAGGTCGACCACCAAAACACAAACCGAAGCCGACGTAGGGATCCCGTCAAAGGCAACGGTGCAAGTGCGAACCAACAAAGGCACCATGGTCCATGTTTCGGGCAACAACCATACCAGAACACGACGTAGTTAGCCCCCCCCACCCCCCCACTGTCAAAAAGTCCTTGGCGACAGCAAACATGCTCCGAAATGCAGGGGTCACTAATGACGCCGGTAGCATAAACAAACAAAACTATTATCACGATCAGGATATATGTATATATATATATCATGATAAAAGCAACAAATAACATTATACATGTTTAATTTATCACATTTATCACTGTATCAGGATCAATCACAAAATGTTATGGAGCAAGGAAGGAAGTCTTTTTCTGGAAGAACTGATCGACTGGCGTCTTGACTTACGACCGGTGGATCCCCGAAATCCGCCGGGGCGCCAACCGGTCTATAGGTTTTGGTATTGGGGAACCATAAAAGTCCACTAGAACCAGGTCTGGGGAAATCCGCCAGCAGCCCTTGGTCTAACCTTGGTCTACTTCTGGTTGCATAATCCCTAGAAGTCCAAAGACTTCGTATCAGCTTCCGCAGATACGTGTGGCCTGGAAATTCCTGGATCATCGGGTGCAGCACTCGTCAGACCATTCCTAGGGTGCAGTGCAGGACTCCCCAACAAAGAAAGGACTCGGTCGTCCGACTCAGTGGTCAAATGTGGTCAATATCGGACGACCACTGACCACTGACCATAAAGAAGCCAACCGACAAATAAAGTGCATATATAGTGCATATATTCCACCTATACGGTTTTCCGCGTTCTTTTCCAATCTTTGCCTTTCCCGTCGGGTACCTCCGCTTTCCAAGGCCACGCTTCGAACATCGAAAGCACTGTTCTCGTAAAGGTGCCTCAACACAATAGCGCCGCGGAAGGCAAAAAACGGATGGAATCGCGGAGGGTTCACGGGTGGGTTCACGGGTGATGATGGTGAGCTGCACGTGTGCAGAAATGAAGGAATGAAGACTTGTTGTGAGGTTTGAACCTACTGAAAAAGCCTGTGAGTAAGCAACACTTGGCAGTTTCTTGAACATGGGCCCGGACCCAACAGGTACTCCCTACACAAATATATATATATATAAACATGACACATCAATTGTCGAGTGTCTAGACTGACAAAAACAAACAAAACACCACTCCCATGAAAACTTCAAGTTGAGGACGTCTTTTGTTGACCAACAAGTCAGGACAAATCAACGGGTCAGTTCGACAGGTCTGTCCCAACAAGCCGACGCTCGGGTCGTCTTCTGGGTCGTCTGACTGGGTGTGACAAAACGGTCACAAACACTGTGTCCGAACGAACAAAGCAGCATCAGCCTGGGTATGATAAGCCGAACGAGTTCGCCTGGGTATTGGTAATCAGGTTCATCACACAAAATTGCGTCTATAGTCATCCTTGAATGATGATCTGGTCTGGTAGGACAACTTTGTGATTGACAATTGGTCCTTCGTTTTCACCCTGAAAGGAGTTTCAGAATCCTGATTCCGACAGCCCCAACACCACTGGTTGTAATTCCAAATCATGTGTCAAACAGTTCCAAATCCGACTGTTCAACTGATCTATCGAGGCTTTCAAGCGAGAACCTGAATGAATAAAAAATAATCAATAAACGATTGTTCCCTACTGGTGGTGACTGCACTTTTTCTCAAACCCTCGATCTGTTGAACCGGCGTTTGTCATGCACCACAATGCACCACATAGAACTGCCAGGATACAACAACAAGTATAGCTTCTTGTTTATAGCGATGGCCTCCAACCTACTTGCGATGCCCTCCACCCTAGTAGCGATGGTCTCCACCAAAAAACGCGTCCAGGAGACCATAGTATCGATAGACCTCCTCTTTGATGACCGGATCTGCGTTTTCATCCTGGGACCACTGCGGAACCACGACGCGGGGAACCGTTCACCACGGTCCGGTCGAACAAGGCTCGCACAATGTGGGCTCACTTTGAATATGAAGTAGATGTGGAAAAACTCAGTGTTGACCTCAAGAGATTCCCTCATAGGACCTCAAAAAGGTTTATAGATTCTTATAGTTCTCGTGTATTGGCTTCTTATCATGCAGGAGCCCAAGGGAATGGCAGGCGCAACGGTGTGTATATATATATATGTATAGAGAGAGAGAGAGATAAAATGAGATAAGCACATGTTCATGTGGTGACATGTTCCATGCACTTTGAAGGACTTTGCCTCATGCACTCGAACTCTTCAGCAAGCCCCTCCTGTGCAAGATGCTTTGTTTGGCAAACGTTTGATAGGGATATGTAGGTTCAGCAAGCAGGACACTTTTTGACAGCGTTGGCATATTGGTGCAATCCAGTTCTTACACCATGCATCTGGTCCAGCACAGAAGACCCGTCAGCCGTCCAAGATCAAAAAGAATAAGATGAACACCTCCAGGAGTGAACTAAAACCAAGTTCGGTGTTTCCTTCAATGTCTTCTGCACGACTCGGGCTCCTCCTGAACACACAATTGGACCAAAGCGGGACACCCCTTTTTCAAACACATTCCTTGGACCATCTCCTGGTACTTTCTCCCATGGCCCATGGACCATCTTCTGAACCCGCCACGTTCCATCCCAGATGCCACCAGGAAGTCTTGGCAAAGCGTGCTCAAGGTCATGCCAGCCACGCATTGAACAAAGCTCAACAAGCAAAAGCTCCAAAAAAAGCATACCACGGCTTGCAGTCAAGCACTTGATCAAGAGCCTTAGAACGGACGGTCCTGGCAGCCTGCCACTACAAACACAGTAGGATGCCTGTTCAGGCGCCCATAAAAACTAGATGGCAGAACTGCTGCAAAAGCAAAAAGGACAAGGGATTCCCCTCCCCCAAAAAAAAGGTTCCAAGATGTTTCAAGGTTTTAGGAAGGACTTTGGTCATGTTGTCCGTCAACTTCATGCAATGCCTACAGAATTCTGACAATGGATACATCTATGACGCTTCATCGCTGAGATTGCTGGCGCCCAAGCTTTGCCAATCACCAGGCCCATGAACCCCCAGAGCAGGAAAAGTCGTCCGGAGCCGGAACATTGTGAGCATCTATTTGGTTTTCTTTGGCTTTTTCCCTGGTGTACCGGTAATACCTCCAATGTGCAACATGAATCAATAACAAAAATAAACTTGCTTAGGCTTCCTAAAAGTCATCTGTAGCACAGTCATTGTAATGATACTCGTGAATTAAAACATGGGACATCTACACTCAAATGAAACCATCTGGGGGCACAAGTAATTACGCAGCTCGTGGCGTACCAAATATAGTGACATGCCTATGATAACGATATATAGTGGACCTATGGGGACCTTCTTGAAATAGCTTCCTCGAAACTCTCGGTTCAAATCTCATGGGAAAAATTCACATTTTCACCACCACTTGGGTCTGGTTGACCGGGCGGCGAGAGAAATGACGAATGAAACATGTGCGTCCGTGTCGTCCGTGCCTTTCGACGTTTCGAACGACTGATCGAAACGGCCCAGGCCCGACCGTGGCCCAGGCACTGCAAGGGCAGCAACATCGTGGTCCTGAGATGGTGGAGCGCGTTGTGGAATACGCGTCCCAACGGTGGGGTTTCATTGGAATAAAGTCCACCCAACGGTGGGATTCATCGAGTCCCAAGTCAAGCTACCGTAGGTGGGGATGTTCACAAGCCAAGTTAGCCAAGCTAGGTGGAACATGGTGACACATTTAAGGGTCGTTTCTGCGAAAGCCCAGGCTCTCTGAGGGTGCGACTCACCAGGCTGCTTGAGAGCAAATGTTGGTCGCAGGCAATTGTTTCTAACGTGTTCAGTATGTTGATTGAGCTGCAGGTCTGAGTCATAGTTAAATTGTTTGTTCCCCACCTGCCAGGTGAGGGTTGTTAGATTTATGACAATTGTTCTTCCTCCTTCCTTCCTTCCTTCCTTCCTTCCTTCCTTCCTCCCTCCCTCCCTCCCTCCCTCCTCCCTCCCTCCCTCCCTCCCTCCCTTCCTTCCTTCCTTCCTTCCTTCCTTCCTCCTTGCTTCCTTCCTCGCCAACCTCCTCGCCAATCTTCATCACCAATCTTCATCGCCAATCTTCATCGCCAATCTTCTTCGCCAATCTGCTTCGCCGATCTTGTCTGGCAAGCTCCGGATCGCAGTGTGCACCCCTGGACCTCAACCGCAAGGATCCGATCGGAGTGTGCACCCCTGGACCTCAACCGCAAGGATCCGATCGCAGTGTGTACCCCTGGACCTCAACCGCAAGGATCCGATCGCAGTGTGCACCCCTGGACCTCAACCGCAAGGATCCGAGCGCAGTGTGCACCCCTGGACCTCAACCGCAAGGATCCCCTCGCAGTGTGCACACCTGGACCTCAACCGCAAGGATCCGATCGCAGTGTGCACCGCTGGACCTCAACCGCAAGGATCCGATCGCAGTGTGCACCGCTGGACCTCAACCAGATAGTTTGCCAGATAAATGCCAGATAGAATGCCAGGTAGATTGCCAGATAGAATGCTGCAAGAAGATATGCCAGATAGTATGCCAAATAGTGTGTCAGATACATTGCTAGATACATTGCCAGATAGAATGCCAGAAACTATGCCAGATAGAATGCCAGATAGAATGCCAGATAAAATGCCAGATAGAATGCCAGAAGATATGCCAGATAGAATGACAGATAGTATGCCAGACAAAATGCCAGATAGTATGCCAGACAGTATGCCAGATAGTATGTCAGATAGATTGCCAGATAGAATGGCAGAAAGTATGCTAGATAGTTTGCCAGAAAGAATGCAAGAAGATATGCAAACACAACCACAAACGCAACTAGAAACACACAACCAGAGACACACACAATCTCAAACACACAATCACAAGCACAAAACCACAAACATAACCGCAAGCACACAACTACAAACACAACTACGAAGACACGATCACAAACAC